CGGAGAGCCTGGCACGCCGGGCTCACGGGGGCCAGTCCCTAGGTGACATATTGGGGTCTGCCTGTCACTCTCTCCTTCTCTCTCTCTCTCTTTCTCATAGGAGAAATAAATAAGACTAAAAAGAAGCCAAGCCAGTGGCTGGCAAGCACACCAAAATCCTCTTCAGATACTTCCCACCAGGGCATGGATGCTTATATGGTCTACGACTGTGGTTCGAGTCCCGGACCTGGTGGCTTGTCTTCTTTTTTTTTCCTCTCTCTCTTACTCTGTCCCTCTTTGGTCAAATTAATATAAGTAACACTAAAAAGAAATCATTCTTAACAAACAAACAATAAAAGAAAATGTTGCCTGCTTCTGGGCCAGCAGGTGGCGTGAAAGTTGAGGCATTGGGTCCCACATGACTGATTGTATGGTTCGAGTCCTGGACCCGGCAACTTGAAAATCACACCTGGTGTGTGTGTGCATGTACACCCAAAGTCCTGGGAGGAGAAGGGATTGTGGTGTGGTCATTCCCCCAGAGGTGATTACTCAGTCTCCCTCTCTCTGTCTCTGTCCTCTCCAGCAAGTGCTCATGCCCCATGGCAAAAATGTTAACAAAGAAAGAAAAAGAGTTGGGGCCCACAGGTGGCACGGTGGTTAAGGCACTGGACTCCCACATGGCCAACCATGGTTTGAGTCTTGGACCTGGTGGCTTGCTTTCTCACTTTCCCTCTCTTTCTCTCTCTTTCTTTCTCTCTTTCGCTCTGTCCCTCTCTGGTCAAATTAAAATAAAATATTATTTTATTTCTTATTCTTGACCAGAGAGAGAGAGAAAGTGAGAAAGCAAGCCGCCAGGTCCGGGACTCAAACCACAGTCAGCCATGTGGGAGTCCAGTACCCTTAACCACTATACTACCTGCAGGGCCCCAAGGACAAGATTCTTGTCAAGAGAATTAATGTGTGTATTAAGTGTATGAAGTATTTCTTAATCCTTTTGTTTTAAAGGAATTATTTTTATTGAACTTTATTTTCCTAAAAAGAAGCCAAGCCGGTGGCCGTCAAGCACACCAAAATCCTCTTCAGATACTTCCCACCAGGTGGCATGGTTCCTAAGGGCATGGATGCTTATATGGTCTACGACTGTGGTTCGAGTCCCGGACCTGGTGGCTTGTCTTCTTTTTTTTTCCTCTCTCTCTTACTCTGTCCCTCTTTGGTCAAATTAATATAAGTAACACTAAAAAGAAATCATTCTTAACAAACGAACAATAAAAGAAAATGTTGCCTGCTACTGGGCCAGCAGGTGGCGTGAAAGTTGAGGCATTGGGTCCCTCATGACTGATTGTATGGTTCGAGTCCTGGACCCGGCAACTTGAAAATCACACCTGGTGTGTGTGTGCATGTACACCCAAAGTCCTGGGAGGAGAAGGGATTGTGGTGTGGTCATTCCCCCAGAGGTGATTACTCAGTCTCCCTCTCTCTGTCTCTGTCCTCTCCAGCAAGTGCTCATGCCCCATGGCAAAAATGTTAACAAAGAAAGAAAAAGAGTTGGGGCCCACAGGTGGCACGGTGGTTAAGGCACTGGACTCCCACATGGCCAACCATGGTTTGAGTCTTGGACCTGGTGGCTTGCTTTCTCACTTTCCCTCTCTCTCTCTCTCTCTCTGTCCCTCTCTGGTCAAATTAAAATGGATGAATAAATAAATAAAGTTAAATAAAATAATTCTTGAAAGAAAGAAAAGAAAGAAGTGAATTAGGAGAAAACACATGACAGGCCGGGCTCTGGGAAATGACCCTGACTCTCAGCCATGGACTTTTTAAGAAAAATCACCCAGGGCTGGCAGGTGGCATAGTGGTGAACGCTCTGGACTCCCACACGGCCGACTGAGGTTCGAGTCCTAGACCTGGCAGCTTGCTTTCTCTCTTTTCCTTGTCCCCTCTCTCTCTCTTTCTCTGATCAATTGAAGAATAACAACACATAAAGAAAATGAAAGATAAAAAAGGAGTCACGCACTTACGGCAGGCTCTGCAGAGCTGGGCTTCCCTGCGGCTGGGATGGCGTCGTAAAGAGGGAGCACGCTGCTGTGATAGACCTTCCACCACAGGTTGAGGAACGATGCCTGGGACCCGTTACCCCATCCCGAACCCTGCTCCAAAACCGAGCCGGTCTGCGGGTTGTACTTGTAGCTCCACGGTTTTGTGGGCCCCAAGAAATGGACCACCTTTGCACTCGAACCGAATCTAAAAAGGAAACACGACAGATGTACGTCTCTCCTTGGAAGTGATAAAAGATGGTCTCACTGCTGGACTCCCACATGGCAGACCACGGTTTGAGTCCTGAACCCGGTGGTTTGAAACTCGCATGCCAAGTGTGCGCGCGTGCCCAAGATCCTGAGAGGAGAATGGAGGAGAAGGGATTGCGGCATGGCCACCCTCCTGGGGGTGATTTCTTGCTTTCTGGCTCTCTCTGTCTCTCCCACAAGCGCATGTGACCTATAACAAAAAAATCTTGCTGTAAAACAAAAACAAAAACAAACAAAAAAAACCAAACTGAGCCTTGTGTAACGATTTCTCAGAACAGATTTGGTTATTGACAATAATCTCATCATCAAGACATCGCTTTTCAGTTAGTAGCTTTTCTTTTTTTAAAAAAAATTTTTTAAAAAATTACTTTATTCATCTATTTATTTATTATTTTTTCACATGAGTTTTGCCAGAGAAAGACAGAGAGAGAGAGAGAGAGAGAGAGAGAGAGAGAGCAAGCAGCCAGGTTCGGGACTTGAACCATGGTCAGCCATGAGGGAATTCCAGCACCTTAACCACCACACCACCTTCTGGCCCCAGTTAGTAGTTTTTCTAAATCACATTTTGTAGTTATGGGGCTGGCAGGTGGCATGGTGGTTAAGGCGCTGAACTCCCACATGACCGACTATAGTTCAAATCCTGGACCTGGTGGTTTTCTCACTCTCCTCTCTCACTCTCCTCTCTCTCTCTCTCTCTAGTCAAAGTGACTAAAAATAATAAATAAATAAAATTATGTAAAAAATTCTTTTAAAAAGTTCGTTTGCGGTTATTTCATTTTACGCATACAGAGGAAAGTAACTCTAATCTATGAGGATCTTCTCCAAAAGTGGAAGATGAAGTCCACGGTCTCACGGTGGGTACCGCGGCTCAAATCACGTCATTGTCCAGGTTCCGGGGGACGTACTGCTTGAAGGCGGGGCCGTAGGTGTAGGCGGCGCTGCTGCTCAGGTTGTAGACGAACGGCAAGCGCTTGTGGATGTCGGCGGTGGCCCAGTCGCTGAAGAAGCTGTTCAGCAAGCCTTGGTCTGCACCTAAATAATGTCCAACACATGGAAAAGAAAATAAACATACCTTCCCGGGAGGAACGGCAGGGGGGGGAACGGGCATGTGGCTGGGAGCCCCCCCCGCAGAAC